GCTTTCTTGGTCCACAGGAACATTCAGGAATCCCTGTGCTCTCCTAGTCCTGTACAGGAAGCAATAAAACAACGAAACCTCAATTACACACATCCTATTTGCTACCATACCATCCAGGACTCCTGAAAATCCAGTAAGCATGATTCCATTTACTTCCATACTTAACTTCTCAAGTCATGAGAACTAGAAACTTCCCAAAGAGAGTGGAAAAAGGTTTCCTTAGTATTTTCAAAATACTTTGTGGTGCATTCTCACAACCGATTTGACCCAGAGCAGCCTCTTAAGTAGATGTGTAGAGTTCGGAGGGGGCTTGGGGGGGCGGTTCTCCCTCCAGCGCAAGCTCTGCAGAGCTCGGCACCCCGCCGGATGATGCAGCCTCTGCCTGATTACCTCTGGTGAGGGAGGACCCACCGCTTCCGGAGGCAGACTGCTCCGCTGTCAGGAGCTTGCCCCTGCTGCTCTTCAGTGCCGTCAAGTTACCTCTGACTTCAGGCAGCTCTATAAATGAACGCCTTCCAAAATGGCTTGTCCTTCGTAGCTCTGCACTGCTCTTCTGAGCTCAGGGTTGTGGCCTCCTTTCTGGAATCAATCCATCTTGTAGTTGGTCTTCCCCTTCTTCTCCGGTGAGTCTTGCCCGCTCACGATGTGTGTGTTTAAAGTACGGCAGCCACAGTGTTGTCATTGTGGCTTCCAGGGCAAGTTCTGGCTTGATTTGGCCTTGTTTGTCTTTCTGGTGGTCCAAGGTATTCACAAAGCTCTCCTCTCCTCCGGCACTATGCTTCTGATGCATCCATTTTCTTCCTCCTGGCTTTCTTCACTGTCCATCTTCTACAGCCGTGCATGATTTTTGGAAGTACAATATTGTGAATGAGCTTGACCGTGATCTTTCAGCATTTCCAGGCTAGGTTTGGATTTCCTTTTGATTTCTTAGTTTTTCTGGAAGAGGTCTGTTGTTCTTTCCCCCATCTCCCTTTTTGTGGGTTCTCTTCATCAAACATAAGACAGCTTCCCCTGCAAAATCTTCCAACCATTTATTTATTTAAGGCTTTTATAAATCATTTAGCTAGCACATGGTTCCTCAAACTAAGGCCGGCGGGACGGATCCAGCCCACCGTGCCCATTTAACCAGCCCGACCCACAGGTTTTGCACTCAGTGGGCATGCGGGCGGGTGTATGGCTTGCTCATGAGGAGGTCATTTTGGACTCGATCGGAGAAAATGATCTCCTTGTGAGCAAGCCGGCGTCTCGCCGTGCATGTGCCCGGTGGGGGCTCACTCAGGAGGAGATCATTTTGGACTCGATCTCCTTGCAAGCAAGCTGGTGCCTTGCCCTGCGCCCCCGCTCCCTGGCTTGCCTTGTGCGCATGTGCACGTGCCCCCCCCCAGCACCTGTCAACTGGCCCCCTTTTGAAAAGGTTTGAGGACCCCTGAACTAGCAGATAACTCTCAGAACAGTGTGCAACAAATTAAAACCATCTAAAAACCTGGTACACATACAATATATTACATTTTAATGCAATGTAATGCAATGCAGTGTAATGCAGTGAGAGTTAACATTTATTAGTGCATCATTCCCACCGACAATAGCAATAAGCAGTAATAGTGAAAAAGCAAAAAAAAAAAAAATGCTTGATAATCTGTTCACTTCCAACTCCTTTCACCAGTAGAGAAATAGCAAACAATTTTCAGCAAGTACATACATTAAAAAATAATTTATGTTGGGGAGGAATTCAGATGTATGTTGGGGAATTATGATTTGCTTAGGTTAACGCCGTGTCGTCATTTTTGTAAAATCTTGCATGTATTCACTGAGAGAGAGATGAGCAGAACAGTATTTAGCCCATTTTCATAGGAAATTTTGTGTATTGAGCCATAACGATAGAAGGGCTGCGCTAGATTGTACTTTGCCAGACCAGCATTCAGTTACCACAGTGTCCAATCCCCACAGGTCTTTATAAGACGCTCACAAACTGGACCCAGCACCTTCTCCTCCTGGGCTCCATCCCAGTGTGCCTGAGCACGCTATTGTATTGGAAGGTTTTATGCAATAAAATTACCATGTCCTGTGAGTTAGATTTTTTTAAAGGAAGTGCTGAAGGGCAGTGAAACCTTCCCTTTAAGCATGTCAAATAAAACGATGTGTGAAAAAGGAAACTCTGCATACGTGGCAGGACTCCCAGCGTGGCCCACATTCCCAGGATCCCCCAGTGCTGTGTCACATCCTGATTCTTCTGAAGTTCAGCAAGCGTTCCCTGACAATGAGCTTACACGGTCCTCTGCTCCTTTTGTCTTATATCTTCCCAACAACCCTGTGAGGTAGGTTAGGCTGGGGTCTGACTGGCCCATTCTTGCAGTGGCAGCCTGCCATGGCTCTTTAGTCACAAGGGGTCGCTCTGTTCTGGGAACCCAGCCTGTGGTTGGGTTCAGACGACATGATAACCCGCAGTCGAAGTATGAGTGTGAGTTGCGGTTGAAACGAGTGAAGTCATCTGAGCTGTCTAGGAAGAACGTTGTCTTCCAGGCAGCAGAGATCATCCTGCAGTTCCTTCCTGGTAGAGGCGGCCCTCATCCAGTTAGCTGCAAGAATTCATCGGATAGTTTTAAAACTCTCCTTGGGAAGATTTTCCTTCATTTAAAAGAATTTTTTTAAGGGAGTGCATCCTTGGCCAAGAAAAACTGGATTTGTTACTAGATAGGAGAAAAGTTTGAACGGTCAGCTTGAGGATACAGTAGTCAATGCTCATAAGTCAGCTGTAGGTCTTCTGCAGGATGCTCTGAGGCTTTTTCAGCCGGCCAAAACATGCTTTGGGTTTGGCCTTGCCAGAATATGCAATGGCAAAACACCCCCCGCACACACAAACACACACATCCGCACCCAACTCAAAACTTGGAGGCAACCAATTGTTTTGACCTAAGCAAGCCTACTATTCGAAAGGCTGGTGTCTCCCAGTTACCCACTGCCTTATAAACCTTTCTGCTTACTTGCTTCACCCGTGTCTTGTACACCAGAGATCCCTCCCTTACTGGGTTCTAAAAAGAAAAGAATCTGTCTGCTAAACTACCACATGGAGTAATATTTTAGATGTGCAAAAAAACAGAGCGATATGAAATAGAGCGGTGCTTTAGAGAGCCCGGTCCTGCTTCTCCTGAGGACGTTTCGTGTCTTGAGTCCTGTTTGTCCCTAACTGACCTTGAGTCACACGGCCATTTCCTCCCCGTCCCCCACAAGCACAAGCGGAAAGCTCTCCCTGGAGTCAGCAGGAGACGTTACCCTACCAAATTATGTGGCCGCTTGTTAGTAGTAGATCGCTGTGCTGTCGTCCCCATGGGCTCCCCTTCCTGCTCTCTAAACACCTCCTTTTGCAAACTGAATGGACAGACCCTCCGAGTATCATGCTGGGGAAGCCGTCGTGCGTTTGTCCCCCTCCCCTTTTCTGTTTGGTACCAGGAATGGTTTGCAGATGTTTCCAGTAATGTTTATCGCTATTATATTTTGGTCAGCTGTCTGGAGTTGCACAGCCACCCAGAACTGGCCACCCAGAACTAGGCCCCTTGCCTCGTTAGTGTCCTGTTAAATGCCTGCTGGCGAAGGAGGCAGCATTCAGGTACACTGATAAATACATGGCTCAGATATATTACTTCGCTTTCTGTTGATGGCGACACAACAGTAATGTGTCAAATGCAGCACAAAGATGCAAAGATATTTTTGCTTGTGAGAGTGGATGCTGATTACTTCCTGCCATTGCAGCAAGATCCTCGGTTTTCTGTTTGGACGACAGTTTTCCAACTCTTCTACCATTGGGAAAGTGCGACCCAGCCCACTTATGGAAGGGCTTCTTTTAAAACAGAGCTTTTGACAGGGACCTGTTTAGCTTTCATTACAGACCAGGCATCTCATCTCGGGTAGCTGGGGTTGTGCATTTGCACAGCCTTGAAAAACTGACACCCCCTCCCCCCAAATAAATACAGTGACTGAAAACATGTGTGCACAGGTCGTGAACTGGAGATGGCCACACCAGCGTAGTGTTAAGCCGCTTTGGAGGGGGTTGTTGGCTGTCTCTTCAGAGATTTTCAGATTCCTGAGAAATGGACCAGAAAGCTGTGGTGACTACGGAAGGAGTTGTATTCGTAGTCAGAAGGCTGAGCCACTGGCAGTAGCTGCAATGCAGAGGAACAGCAGGTGGTGGCAGTGGCTCAGGTGAGACTGACGAAAGGTGAGGCAAAGGTGGTTTGCACCTCGCTTGCTGCATCACAACTGACAGTGCAGCCAGGCACCCAGGTTTGGCTGATGCAGCAACCCATCACGAGCTAAACCACCTCTAAAGCAAACGACGGAGTCTCGGGATGGCTTTGTGGGGCAGAGTAAGCTATCCCAAGGACGCATTCTGGGTTTGTACAGCCAGACAACCCACCATGGATTGCCATGTTGTGTGAATGCAGCCAGTGGCTACCAGTTGTGCATATTCCCTCTAGTTTCAAAGGCAGTTTGTCTGTCTGACACAGTTGCCAAGATGCATGAGGATGAGGCTGCTCTGTGCTCATATCCTGCTTGTGGGCTTCCTGCAAGCATCCGGGTGGTCACTCTGCTAATGGAGGACTGTAAACCTTTGGCTGGCCACTCTAGGAACAGATTGGTTTGGTCTGATCCAACAGGCTGTTCTTAGGATTATTTTCAAACTGAGGGAACTCCCCGAAACAGTTTGTACAGTGGGGGTGCGGGGGTGGTCTGGTGTTAAAGGAAGGAAAATCAGGTGTTCAGGTCTCAAGTAAAGCAGCTTTTTGGATCATGGCCCTCCTTTACTCTGCTGGATTGTACACTCATGCATTTTGGGGGCGGCTCTGTACCCAGACTTTTAGAAAATTTCTACTTCCCGTCCATGTTACGGAAGACCTAGATAGTGCCATTCAGATGGTGTGGAATTGGCTCTCCCTTATTGAATGCTGACTTTTATGCATGCTGGAAACAGTGCCTAATTGTGAAGGATTTTCCTCTCTTTTCAGATTTTCTATTTTGTACATACATTGTTTTGTATATACTGTATATGATGACTTCAGTGGGCAGTGAACGTCCTCGGGGCACTCGAGACAAAGCGCAGATTTCCCCCACGCAGCTGACACAACCACAGAAACCAGTAGTACAGGTAGGCATGTGGGCATGCTTGATCCGTGTATCTTAACCTGTAAGAACTGATGGTCGGTCAATGATGCCAAGAGTGTATCCTTTAACTTCCCCGTGAGTTTATGTGCATGTTCATGTCAGTTGAGGGACCTTGCACTCATTTAAATTGGGGCGGCCTGGAAAGCAAGATTGCTTCCTGGATCGCTTGTGATCAGGTCTGTGTCGCGAGAAGGACCCTGCGTGCCTCAGCTAGTGAGCGAGTGCCCTTGTTCCTGGGCCAGGAGGTTGAAGGGGAAGGACACAGGCAGCCGCGCCAGATGCTCTGGAATGAGTCCATGCTGGGGACTGATCTAGGTCAAGGTCTGTGGAGCAATGCAAACAGTACTATTTTCCCAGAGATGAAGAGATGGCTGTTTTTCAGTCCTTTAAGGACTCTTAACCAAACTGATCTCATAGGGTCCCGATGAGGATAAAATGGAGAGGACAAGATTCATGTGTATCTCCTTGTGCTCTTGGAGGAAACGGTGGAGCACATGGTGTCAGTAAGCAGGAGTCCTTTGTGAACAGTCAGACTGAGTAACACACACAAGGCCTGTCTGCTTTGTAGGTGCTCATCTCTGATGCGCACAGAAACTTGATGCATTTTGGGCTGTATTTCGGGGCGGAGGGAGCACATGCATCAGAGGCTAAGAGTGAATTCACTCATCTGTACCACTCAGTAGGGAGCAGACACCAGTTTTTGGCTCCCTGATTAGTGAAACTCCTAAACGTTGTCATGTGTTAAGTGGCCGTAAACATAAACAGGGGCACTGGTTTTTGTCTTGAAATTTAAATAGCAGGTGAAGAGTTTTCAGGGTGGTCCAGAGAATCATTAAAAAAACAAAACAAAAACGCTTTATTATTTCCAAGGGAGGTGGTTGAAGACCCATCAGTGAGAAGAAACGACTGGACAACCACATGTTGAGGGTTACATGAGTGGCGCCAGCTGGAGCTGGGTGTCAGACCAGATGGCCCAGGATGCCCCTTCTGACTCCCTTTGTTTCTGTGTTTCTATTATCTGCTTCATGGTACTTGGCACTGCAGTTTCAAACTTAGTGCTAACCATGAGGGTTGGATTCCCATCCCCTTTCTCTCTTTTTAAACAGAAATCAAGTTTGCCAGTGTGTAGGTCCCCTGGACTGCAGATTTCCAGCGTAGTGTAAAGGAAGCGTCTCATGGAATATTCTTCTGACACTAATGCTACACACTCCCTTTGGGGCACTGTTATGACTGCGCTAAAGTCATTGAGAACCAGTGTGGTGTAGCATAGTAAGACCAAGGCTCACGCCCCTGCTCAGGCATGAACCTCGGTGAATTTATTTATTTATTTATTAAAACATTTCTATGAATTCAGGCCAGTCACTTCCTTGCAGTCCAAACCCACCTTGCAGCGTTCTGGTGAGAATAAAATTGGGTGGAATAGACCGCGTGCACTGCCCTGAGCAACCTGTAGGAAGAATTGGTGCAGTGCTGTTTGAGCAGCAATTAAAATCTCTCCAGCAGTCGCTTCTGTGACCCTAGAGGCAGGTGCTGAACAGAAAAGTGGTTTCCCCCCCCCAGTGTGTGTAATAAGTAATCACACATGGTGCCCTCTAACACTGGTTGCTTGATTTTCAAAAGGCATGAATGCTGTCAGTGTTGGAGGGGGTGGTCACTGACACTCCCATCTCCATCGCAAGGCAAGGCTGAGCCTGCTTGCTCCCCCAAAGCAGCCCAGGCAAACTAGATTGCAGCGGAAGGAGGCCAGGGGGCCGCAGAAGATGCTCTCGCAACACTGTGCAAGCCATCCAGGAGCCAGCAGGGCTGAGCTCAGGGTCCCTGGCTAGTGACTCTCCGGCGTGAGGGTGTCCTCGGCACCTAGACGTGGCCCTCCGTTAAGTGCTGTGAGACGACATCCGCTCACAGGACCTGCTGATGAGCGATCTCTTCGGCCAGGTGCCTGCTGCCCTTGCCACTCAAGCCCCACGGACGTGAAAGGCCTCGTGTGCAGAGGGCTCACGGGCATTTTACCGAGCGCAGCCAAGATGCCTTTTCTGGTTGTCGCTCTGAGCCCTAGGATGCTTTTGGGTTAATTTCATGGTCATGACTAGCTTAAGCCCCATTGAATTCAGTGGGTCTCCTCTTAGTATGGCTAAATCTGGAAGCAGCCCTGGAAGGGTAGGGCAGGACCTGTTAATTTATACTGTTAATTTATATTATTTTAAGGATGTTTATTTGTGGATGTAAGCCGCCCTGAGGCTTCAGTGAATGGGGCGGCATAGAAGTCTCCTAAATAAATAAATCATCCATCCATCCATCCATCCTTGGGGCCTCCAGGAGTAACACGTGAGGCCCAGCTCCACATGCAGTAGAATGGACAGAATTCCTTCAGACTGTATACTAAAGATAGGCTTTTTGAATGCTTCTCCACAAACTACTATCTTAAACCAAAACCTACCAGGACATCGCAGCAAGTGTGCCTTTCTATCACAGTTTCTCTTGAAGCATTGGTTGTACTTGCAGGAGGAGAGCCTGCAGATGCCATCTCCTACCTGCAGTCTGAATTGATGCAGTCATTTCTACACGCATGCCTCACTTTAGATATTTATTGGTTTGATCAAACCAGAGTTCATTGTGGCATCCAGAGCACAACTTCAGGCTATATTTTGACGCTGCTTTGCATTCCTCGTTTGGAGAGTTGCTATGAACCACAGACATTAAAAAAACGTACAGCTTTAATAACTAAGAATTTGCTTGCAGCTTCTAGTCTAACAGTATCGCCTAAATGTTATGTTTAGAAATCTACTTTAATTGTTGCATTGGTTAAACAAACATGATCCTCCATTCCTGGTGTTTCCTTCAGCCCTGGTGTACTCCAGTGGAATTCCTTCCAAGTAGGATTACTCTTGTTCCTTTTTGATGATGGTAGTGGAGAAAGATTACCTGTATCTTGCCCACCTTCACCAAGTGAAGGTGCTTGAGATGAATTACGATTGTACACAAAATGCATACAAAGCTGGCATCACAAAGTTAGGCAAAACTGGTCAAATTGGGCAATGGCACGAGGGACAACTTAGGCACTTCAGCTCTGGTTTTGCACTCTAATTAGGGTTTAAAGTAGCCTGTACATCTGAACGGTATCTGCTTTTTCTTCTGTTGTCCTTGTCAGATCACTGCTGATAGTTTTCCTGTTTCTACCTTGAACCTGGGGTTTTAAGTTGTGGAAAATATATCTCTTAATTTTCTGTAAGGTTAGCTATAAAATAGCATTTGGGGATCTTTGGTGTTGCGTGTATGTGTACCTTAATATTGGATATATTTGTACTTCTCAGGCTACAGCAGAACAAATTCGCCTTGCACAGATGATTTATGATAAGAATGATGTGGACTTTGAGGATAAAGTGAAGCAGGTATGTTTCCTCTCGTGTCCTTGGTGGGAAGGAGGGTTGTTTGCAGGAGAGGCTAGGGCAGGTGGTCATGACAGAGCTCTATAAAGATAGGCAGCATTAAAGCCAGAGTAAGTAAACATATATTTGTATGATCTGGTAAGCACATCGTTTACTTGACACAGTCCCCGACTCCTGAGCAGACATGCCAGTCATGGAATAAAAAGGGAGGTCCTTTTATGGATCGGTTCTTGGTTAAAGAACAGAAATCAGAGATTAGTATTACATGGTAAATTCTTCCACTGAAGAGATGTAAACAGTGAGGTCCCGCAGGGATCTGCACTGGGGCTTGTGCTTTTCGACATGTTTCTAGAAGGAACTAGGGCACCCAAGTATTTAGCATAGTTAGAAAGGGATGGGGGAATGGTGAGGAGCTCCAAATGGATCTCTGCAGACTGGGAGCGTGGGGACCAAGATGACAAATGCCGTTGAGTGCGAGCAAGCATGAAGCAATGTATACTGCGGCAAAAACAAAGGAAAAGGGAAATCCCCACGGGGCAAACTTCCGCTGCAAACCGATGGGATCCAGGCTAGTGGCGCCTGACCAGGAAAGAGGTCTTGATGGGCAGCTCCGTGAAAATGAGAACCCCGCGTGTGGCTGCCACGAAGACGGCAAACTTCATTTTTGGCTTAATTAGGAAAGAAATGGAAAACAAAATTGTCCACATCATGCTGCTCTTCTACAAATCTGTGGGGTGGACAGCCTTCGAGTACTGTGATTGATTGATTGATTGATTGATTGAATTTGTATGCCATCCAGTTACTTGCATAATAGATGGCTAACAACATGGGTAATTTGACAACCCACTCTGGCTGCAAGTTAATAAAAAGCAACAATAAAATTCAATATTAAAATATTGATTGAATAAAAAGGTTTTAACCTGGCGCCGAAAAACATAATGACGGCGCCAGGCGGGCCTCTCTGGGGAGCGCAATAATTTTGGTTATTGTTCCTAGAAAGGATGTTGTGAGGTTGGAGTAAGTGCAGAAATGGGCAGCACAGGTGATCAGAAGGCTGGAGCAACTTCCCTTTGACGAAAGGTTGCAGCAGCTGGGATTGTTCAACTTGGAAGGAAGGAAGGAAGGAAGGAAGGAAGGAAGGAAGGAAGGAAACTAAGATAGAAGTGGGCAAATTATGCATCATGTGGAGAAAGTGGATAGGGAGACATCAGTACATTAATGCAATGTGCCGAAAGCATGTTTAGCTCCTACACGCACAGGAAGTCTTTATCACCTGCAAAAACCTGCTGGCCCCAGCCTGGCTTTTTCCCAGGCAGAGTGGGGAAGTGTATTGCTTAAAAGTGAAATGGCATAGTCCATTAAAAAAAACCCACTCAGATGAAATGTTTTGAGCTCATGGTTTTAAGAAGACCTTTCTTAAGTTGGGGCCGGGCAGGCAGGAGATATATCTGAACAGCTTAACTTCTCAGCATAGAAGGAGCAGCATTTTGGGTAGACTCTGCTTGTATTTGTCCAAGGCTTTGAAAAATGTGATTCATGTTTTGTGTTTTTCCAGCTTATGGAAGTGACTGGGAAAAATCAGGACGATTGCATAGTGGCTCTGCATGACTGCAATGGAGACGTGAACAGAGCCATCAATATCTTGCTGGAAGGAAACTCGGACACAGTAAGGATGCAAGTTCGGATTGTTTTAAACCATCTCTAAATCTCGTCTCTTCTAACTGCTTCTTCTGGAAGCTTGTCCATTGCCAAAGATTACATTTTCTGTAGGATGAACCGTTTCATGTGTGCAGGGCTTAAAAGCATTAAGGATTTGCGGGTGCCCGAGATCTTCTTTTCCAGCCATACCAAGTAGCACGCATTCTCTAAATGGTAAGGCACTCACCAGGAGCCTGAAGAAGTGCTCCTCAGCTGCACGAGTTCATCTTGCCACGATGGTTCCTCCATTCTGAAAAGTGTGCATCCATCGTTATTCTGGCGTGTCAAGTCCAGGGAGTGCTGCTGAGAACTGGCTTCCAGGGCTGCTATTGCTACTGATATTCATGTTGATTTTTGTCAAGCACAGGGAGCACTATTCCTGGCTTTGCTGGGGTGGGGGCCTACTGAGAGTCTCTAAATCTATTTTTTGTGAGATAGGTTAAGTGAATTGCCGGTCTGCCATGCTGAAACAGCAGAGCATGTACCCAGTTCCTGGTAGCTTGGTACGAAGGGTTGCATGCTTGTTTAGAATCCTCTAATTGCCTAGGGTCCTCTCCCAGCTCTGATCTGCAGATGCTGAATTGGGGTACACCAAGATAAATTAATTGCTCTGCCTGGCAGTGCATGCATTTGATTCTCTTAAAGAAAATGTATGCAGAAAGCTAATTCCTTTTATTGATTATTTTTCATAATTCTTGTTTTACTAGTCATGGGGAAAGAGCAGGAAGTTACGCAGGGCATGAAGGCTGCACCCCTCATTCCTTTTTGGACACCGCCCTGGCTTCTAAGATTTCAACAGGCTTTACCCGAGCATATTTTTGCAAAAAAATATAGCCAAGAAGCATGAACCTTTTTCTCCCCTAAAACTGAACACAGAGATTCTTAGGCTGAGTTCTTCACTCAAGGGCTTTATTTATGGCATCTGCACAACCTGCTTGCATAGAAGAAGGATTGCCAGTTGCTTGTCCCCTTTGTCGTGATTAAAAACCCACCACCGTCTCTTCGTGTGCACCAGAGACAGCCTTTTAAGTTTACCAGCTGCAGTATGAATTAGAAAAGCTGAAAAACGTCGGGCACTCTATTCTTGGCCAAAATAGTTTGACTCATCCAGCCTGCAGTAATTCAAAATAGACAACGCCGTTCGCGCAAATGCCTATCCATCAAATTATTCATTTCCCTTTAAAATGTGTAACTGAGAGAGAAAGCTCTAGGCTTGTCCTAAGTGAAGGTCAGCCTGGTCCCCAGCTGGAAATAAATGGGTATTTTCCCCTCAGTGTAGTGAGGTGGAGTTGTTGAATCGATTTCCCTCCTTTTCCTTCCATTGCCCTTCTCACGTGTTGCCATGAGTTCCTGCCACGTCAGCCCCTGGACTGGTTTGAGGTACTTTGGGAGATGGTTATTGACACTTATTTGACATAATGAGATTTGCAGAAGAAATCCACTTCTCATCCTATTTGTAGAAGTATCTAATCAGCCGCCTAACCAGCTCTTACTTGTATCGCACTCAAGAGCAAGTTACGGGGAAACGCTCTGCTTCCCACTGAACAGGCACATGTGTGCCCGTCGTACAGCACTCACAGCGGTCCCTCGGCAAGCAGCAATAGAGCGTAACCACAGTAGTTTTAAATTACCTGGGTCTGCGCCCCAATTAGTCCTGTGTGATCAAGGCCCAGGATAAGAGCTGATGCAGTGCTCGAATTAATCATGTGTGGCGCATCAGGGCTGGTTTCAGGTTCTAACTCCTTTCCTACCACAAGTGCCCAGTGATCCCGGCCCAGTTTGTCTGTAAAAAGCGAATAACCGTAATATGCCTTGCTAGTGGACTATAAAAATAAAAACAATGGAGCAAATGACATGCAATTTTAAAATCTATGATTTGCATTCTAGCCAAGAACTACTGCATGATCGGGACAACTGGGAAACTTTTTTTGAACCCCGTACTGCAGTCTAAATTAACCTCTCCTTCCCCCAAACTGAGGTTTGGCGTGGGAGAGAAGTATATTGTACCAAATAGACGCCAGAGATTGGGGTGTCGTCACATGGTTCTGGCATTTGAATGGGAACTCCCTCCAGTGCCTGTTACCTGCAGTTTGAAATACCCAGTAGAGTCGAACACATTGACTGTAGCAATACTTTGTAGTTAAAATGCCATAAGGGTGAACTCGGTTCTGAGAGTGCTGGCATGTTACTGCGGCTTTTCAGTCTTCACAGCTGCCCCGTGTGCATGCGTGCATGAAAGACTGAGAGAGAGAGAGAATGGACCTTGTATATCTGAAGGACCTTAGAGCTTTGTGGGGCTCAGGTTGGAAGGCATTCCGTAAGGCAGTCTTTAAATCCCTTTTAAATTGTTCTGTGTTTTCCTTCTCCACCTAAATAGACTTCGTGGGAGACAGTGGGAGGAAAGAAGAAAAGTCTTGGAAAAGAGAGTTCAGAAAACAAAGAGAACAGAGAAAAGCGAGGGGACAGAGAAGTGAGCCGTGGACGGGGAAGTTCCAGCAGACGAGGAAGAGGGGGCAGTCGTGGTCGAGAGTGTAAGCGCAGGGACCTTGGTCCTAGGAATGTGGTTGCCTTAGTCTGCCTTCGTGTTTGCTTAGGAGAGTGTTCGGCTCGGCTTGCCTCGTCAAATGCCCGAAGTAGCATGCTAGGGAAAGAATCGTGAACCTGGTGTGCAGGTCACCTCTCGGTGCAACTCACATGGCCTTAAAAGTGTGGTACTGGCTTGTTTTCACGACAGCTTATTTCTCTGCACAAAACTGAGGATGTAGGGGTGTATTTTGCACATTACATGCGGTGATATGAAAAAGAAGCTGAACGATTTTCAAATATTTTATTTGTGTACCTCAAGCCTCCTCTTCAACCTTCAGAGGAGCTCTTGGAGCAGCTTGTGCCAGTCTAAAATCCACGGCCCAGTTTGCACAGAACGGCGGCCTGGCTGGTTTGCTCTGCCCCATTCCTCCCACGGCTGCCTGGAGGAGCTAAACAGCCTGGGGATGCTCCACCTGTGGGTGGTTTGACGGGTTCCACCTTCGCCGCAGCTCTCATGCAAGAAGCCAGAATTCCCGGCCCACTTGTGGTAGCAATAGCGAACGGCCATTCCCATGACAGACGAACCTGGGGTGGTTCTGATGCATGAAAACAGGAGTGCAGCGTAAAAACAAAACGTACGAAAGCAAAGCCAGCCTCGCACAGATTAAAAACCCAGCCTCAAAATGCATATCTAACTGGAAGGAGAGAGTTAGATGGCAGGAACTTGCTGGAAGGCGTAGGTGCGATACCATGAAGTTCTTGCTCTCCTTGGGTTTCTCAGTGATCTTAGCCTTGGGCTAACAGGCGGAATAGCCGCTCCAGGTCCAAATCTTTGTGCCTTGTTAGAGCCCTTCGCCCCTTCTGTTCTGCTGTGGGACTCAGTTTCACACATGCTTGGGAAAAAGTCTGAATGGGGATGGAGAGGTTTTAAAACTGCACTTACTCGTGGCCAAAGACTCATGCTAGTTCTGCCTCCCTTTTCCCATATCTAGTTAGAGCAGAAGAGAATGGCGTGGATACCAGCCAAGGAGACAGGCCTTCAGATCGTGGGAAGCGTGGCAGAGGGAGAGGTAAGAACACTTTACCAATAGATTTATATCCTGCTAGTGCTAAAAGCTAGTCGCAGTTTCATTTCACAGTCTTCAATTGGAAGCCCTTCTCTAAGAAACAGCTTTTGTTAAAGATAACCAAATGTAGTGCTTTGGGCAGCAGAAACTGGAAAGGGGGAGAAGGCACATTCCCAGCAGCTGCCGTTCCTCTTGTCAGCTGTTGGCACACTGCTGCCGTTGTTGTTGTGGTGGTGGTGAGTATCATCATAAAACAGGCCAGTTGGAGGGGGCCAAGAACCCACTCGATTGAGGATTCCAAGTTAAACCATCCTTCTCAGAGGACTGGCTGCATCCTGAATCCTCCTTGTGGAGAATCCACAACCTCCCTTGGTCAATGTCTTCCATTGTCTGGCCTGCCGGACACAAACTCGGCTATCTTTTCAGGACCAAGTTAAGACTTCCTTTTTTGCTGAGCCAGTTACCAATTCCCAGTACCACACGGGGCGGCGGTGGCGGTACTGCCGGTTGTTTTTCTGCACGCCCAGCAGTATGGGCTGGCCGTGGCGATTTAATTGCAAAATGTGGCTTTAAATGTGGTTCTTTATCTTTTTGTGGGTTTTGTATACTATATTTATGACTGAGGGTCATTTCCCTGAGAATTGAGCTGCATAAAAAAACCAAGTGATTCTCCTCTCCATCTTATCCTCACAGCAGCAACCTTGCGAGGCAGGTGGGGCTGAGGGTCTGTGGGCTTCATGGCCGAGTGGGGGCCAGAGCCCAGGTCTCCTGGTTTCCAGTCATTATGCCACACCGACTCCCTCGTGAACTTCTTTCTGGGAAACCCGGAGGAGGGGCCCGGCCTGAGATTTCTTCTTGGGTTTTCTGCTGGCGTTGCACGAGTTGGATCGTGGCTTTCGGTCGCTGGGGTGGATGTGAAGCATTGCTATCCAGCATTGCAAGCAGCTCTGTACTGAGGGGCTGGGGAGTGACCGGCATTCACTGCACTTGTCCCGCGTGAAGACTGCTAGAAATAGCCGGATAAAATTTCATAATTTCTTTATTTCAATTAAAAAGCCCATGGTTTTGTCCAAGTCCTGCACGGCTAGTGCATCTTGCCCAGGAGCCATTTCATGTGGCTCATGTACCATTTTCACATGCTGTTCCTTTGCAGCTTGGTCTTGATCTGCTCTGGCTTCCACAGAGCTGAAGGTAAAGCAGCATCCTTGGCTTGATAAATAGCCAGGCACGGAAGCGAGCTGCTGCTCGGAACTTGTACCCTTGGCATTCTCTCTCAAGAACAAGACTAAACATGAAACTAAGAAATCCTTGGACCGAGTTTTGTTTAACTTACAGGCTGCACAGTTCTGTAGCCTGATTTTGTTTTTTCTCTTTAGTTTGGGTTGTAGCTTTAAACTTGCCACAAAAGATTGTTATTGTGGTATAAGTTCAGTTTAACACGGTTTTCATTTTCGCAGAGTAAGGCATAACATGTAAAGGAAAGGACTTAACGTGAGTAATTTCCTGCTCACATGACAACATTCTGTTTGGCCTCCTGATCCCTGAATATGATTTGCAGTGAGGGTTCGGCAGGCCATGTGCCCAGAGCACGGACAGGCACTGGGCTGGAAGGACAAACTCTTTGTCATGGTGCAAGGCACCTTCCTGTGTTATGACCTCCATCGCATGCCATCTCTCCCCACTCTCCATCCCCAGATCCCTCAGTCCATCCCAACTTGACATAGAAGGCCGTATTCTTCTCTAGAGGCCGATCAGAGGAAGCATCGGGATTTCCTAAAATAGTATAATTGGTTGCACGTGGTCTGTTTGGTTGGAGGGAAGTCAGGGAAGCAGCCAGCCTTACAAATAGAATATTTGGGAGCTGGCAGCCACAGTCTGTGCCTCATTTTCTCTGTTTCTCCTAAAGGGGTGCACAGTCTGTGAGCCATGCAGACAGCCAGCGTGGGTTGTGTGGTGCGCTTGTGGCTTAGCCGCCGCAGCAGAGCTCACAGAAGTTGGGGACCAGCCCAAGAGTATCATGGAGCGTACTGGACTACCATGCATCCGCCACTGCATGCCTCTAGCCCAGTTGCTTGGCGTGCTGCAGACGAGTCCCGAATCGCACCACTGCGTGGGTATCGGCCGTGGTGTACAACGGTCAGCGGGCCGTGCTAGCCAACTCAAAATTGCACTTGCCCGATTCCTCTCCCCTCCTGCCCGGGTGGAGGATTTTGATGGTTGGCCAGGGGACTCGCACGACGGAAGGGCAGAACCTTCCGTTCCCAGGTGCGTGGGGGCTTCGCCCTGCCCCTTCGAGAGGCAGCCGCTCCTGTCATTGTGCATGGTGTGTTCATGAAGACAGCCAGCCACCCCCAGAAGATGTCTCTAGCACAGGATAGGCAGAGGGCTGTGAAAGAGGCAGCCGCAGCTGCACCCTCCCCGGCAGATGCATCGAACTGTTTCCAGCTTAGAGCACAGGGCTATAGCCTAAGTGCAGTGGCAAGGAGGAATGCCTGCCTGAGAAACTGGGACATGCATGGAGAGGTGATTCTGGTCGGGCGAGCGTTCCATTGTGGGACGACACCTCTTTCGGGAACTGCTTGACAAGGTAGAAACCAAGCACAAATAAAAGGCTTCCATGGACATGTGGCAGTGGCCTCCCTTCCTTCAAGCCCTCCTTCCCATGGAATGGCATCCCCAGGGAACATAAGCCAAGGTGGCAGCGAGGCCCGAGCTGAGTGCACGGAGAGGGAATGAAAGAAACCCGGTTCAACATGACTGCTCTTCTCCCCAGCTTATTAGATGTGCAGGGACATCTCCTGGCAGATTGCTGGCTCTTAGAGGGGGCCTGGAAGAGCTGCTCCTTGGAATTATAAAAAAAACTCCCAGGAACAGATTCCTTAGGACACCCCACCTGAGCGATCCCATCAAGTATCTGAGGATCCAAGCCGCCGTGCAGCACTTGGTATGGGTCAGAACCATGGGGGAGGTTCTGCAGAACGGAAGGGACCAAAGCCACCCTTTTCATATCCATCAGAGTTTCAAAGTTTAATTCCTGCACTATTAGAAAGTGAAGTGAAGGCTGCTGTGAAAGCACTCGGAAGGAAGGAAGCATTGGATGTAGACAGCAAGCACAAGAAGAATTATTCCCAGCTGCAGGGACTGAATTGGGCCATATCCTAGCAAGAATATGGCCATAAAGATGGAGGACAAACAATGGCCTGGAGACTGGAGGTGTTCAGCATACATCCTGATCTCCAAGAAAGGAGGTGCAAAAGAGCGCAGCGGTCATGGGACCATTGCATTGTTTCCCATGCGAGCCAAGTAATGCTCAAGGTGTCGCAACCAAGAATTTTACCCTCCCTGGAGTGAGAAATGTCTGATATTCAAGCTGGGTGCCAAAAATAAAGCAGCACTTGAGCACGTATTGCAAAAATACCTTGGCTATTAGAGCACACCAAAAAACTTCAGAAGATCAGTCTATGCTCTGTAGACTGCAACAAAGCCTTTGACTGTGTGGATCACAAGAGGCGATAGATGGTTCTGAAGGAAATGAGTGTCCCTCAGCGGTTGATTGTGCTGTGGTCGTGAGGCTGGTGTTAGGGCAGAATGTGGAGGTACAGAATGGATTCCTTTAGGCAAAGACTTCAGGCGAGGGTGAACAGAGAGATAAAATGCAGCCTGTTTTGCAGAACATACCATGAGGACAGCTGGATTACGATCCCAGATAGGAGTGGAACTTGGTGGAAGATGCATCAATAATTTGAGATATGTGGATGATAGTATAGTATTACTATTTATTGCATTTATTAGTAATAATCTTCTGTAGCTGGAGCTCCCTGGGTGGTTCATAACAGGATATAGAAACAATCAAATAAAATACATAAAACAGCATTTGGAACATTTAAAAGTCAAATAAAATAGCATTAAAATACATTAAATAAATTGAAAAGACCCAGCCAGGAAGGGAGGGAGGGAGGGAGGGAGGGAGGGCACCTGGATGAAACCATCAGGCCAGGGAGATGGGCTCTGAATGACCATGGTGATCTTTGAAAGCCTCCACAAAGAGGGCTGTTTTAACCTGGTGATGAAGAGATGGTAAATTCGGCATTGGGCAGGCTGCAGCAGGGAGGTTGTGCCAAAGATCCCAACCTCCCCCCCCCCCCCCCACTAGTTGCCACCTCTGAGCCTCTCGAGTTGACACCCCGAGGAAGGCCCCAGAGCGTACAGGCAGGAAGTGAACTGAAAGGGCTGATGAATATGGAAGAAGGTGCGAAAGCAGGACTGCAGCTGAACATGGGGGAAAGGGAAAGTCACAGCTGCCGCAGATTTGTACTACTTTAATATCAACAGAGCAGAAATTGAAAAGTTTTGCATACCTTGGCTCGGTCATCATTTCAAATGGTGACTGTGCCAAAAAAATAAAATAAGGCCGAGACTGGGAAGGGTAGCAAAGAAGGAACTAGAAAAGATAATCAAGCGCAGGGATGTTTCTCTGCAGACCAAAGTCAAAATCATCCACACTATTGTATTCCCAGTTGCTGTGTAAGGATGTGAAAGCTGGGCAGTGAAGAAAGCAGACAGGAAGAAAACTGACGCATTCAGAACATAATACTGGAGGAGAGTTTGCGAATACCCTGGACTGATTGGAAGGCAAATAGTGGGTCCTAGATCAAGTCAAGCCATGCCTTTTTGGCTTCCAGAACCCTGGAAGCAAAAATGAAACGGAAGATGTACATAGAGCCCATCATGAGAAACTAAGACTCACTGGAGAAAATAACGCTGGAGAGAGCTGAAGGCAAAAGAAGAAGAAGAACCATGAGATGGATCGATTCCATGAAGGAAGCCCCAGTCGGCAAGAGCTGAGCAGGGATAAGAACATGCTGGATCACAGCAACGCTCCATGCAGTCCAGCACTCTGCCCACGTGGTGGCCAGCCAGCCGCCCGCAGGACCTGTCCAGCAGGATGGGTGCAAGGCCTCCTCCCGCCCAGCTCCTCGGCAAGGGGTGGATGCAGGCGGGCC